GTGAGCACCAGACGTGCATGTAGTATTACACATACATACATGTAGACAGTAAGTAAATCTTTAAAAAGTAAATTAGGTTTTTGCAGTGAGGTAAATTATGTAAATGATAGGTTGATTTCACTTTCAGTTCTGCAAGAAGGGACAAATGGAACCTCTTTAGTCTTCTACTCTCTGCTGTCTTCCTAATCTAGTTCATCCTACGTCCACTGTGCTCCTTCAGATTCTCCCCACCATAATCAGCATGATTGTAACAACAACAGAAAGTCTTTAAAACCTTTTCTGTCTGCTATTTTAATAATTCATTTCTGATTCCCTGCTCACAACCTGTCAGTGCGTATCATTGCTTTCGGGATGAAATCTCAGACTTCGTCAGGGTCTACCAGGTCCTCTCGGTATCTTCGACCACTCTCACTTCTTTCTCGTCAGTGTCTTGGGAGGTGCTTCACTGCTTTGAAGTGTCGTTCCATCCTCGTCCGTCGTCTCTGCAGTGGTTCACTGTTCAGTGCTTAGCAAACGGCACTTCCCGAGGCTTTTCCTCACTCCTCACAGGAGAGAACCTCCTCCTTTTCAGTGTAGATGTTTTATAAGCATGGGAGTTGTGTCCAGCTCACTGTTGATGTTTACTGTTGAGCATAGTACCCAATGTTCAGTTGGCAGTCATGGACTTCTTATTGTCTCATGCGTATGTAGTTAAGAGAGTAGGTGTCTTAGTGAGGACGTGGGTTCAGAATGGAGAAGAAGAGCTGGAAGCCGGTGTGATGACTGCACTCGTAATCCCAGCAACCTAGGAAGCAAACAAAGGTAGGAGGAGCCGTGTTACAGAGGGAGCTGTGGCCCACTGAGGGCTGTGGAGAGACGCTGTCTTTAAAAACAAAAACAACAACAACAAAGTGAAATAAAGATGAAATGCTTTATCTGAGTTGTTGCAGTAGAGACAAAGTTTTTAGACGTTATGAGGCAGATGGATTACAGATGAGCATTGGAATTTCTCAGGAAAATGGTAGGACTTGAAGTGAGGAAAACACAAGCCTTTAACCAATATGATTGGTGCTCCCTTTCTGACAGGAATGAAATAAAGTGACATGAATCTATGCAGTGTCTTAGTCCCTCGAGAAGCAGTGGGGTCTAGCAGGAAAATATGGGCTCAGATTTTCTAGGTTTAGACAAGCTATTCACCTGGCTTTTTGTTTTCGTTGTTGAGTAAATAAATAAGATAGTCTGTGGCAGTTGGGAGTGGGGTGTTGCTAGGGAGTGTGTGCTGGTGAGTGTTCTGTCTCCAGCCCTGAGGGTGTGTCTTTGAAAGGCCTTATGGAATATTAACTGGTTCCTTTTAGTTCTTGGTTACTGTCTTCGCTTCTGGAGAGCATGGAAGTGGGAGGAGCGGCAAGTGGCAGAACTGAATTTGAGCAAGAGGCTTCATTTATGCAGCATGTTGAGTTTTAGTTATGGTCAGCATGAGCATTTATAAATGAATACAGACACAAGCAAATACTGATCCAGGGGAAGGGTTTATAAAATAAATACCACTGACTGGCTCATGACCATGTCATGATGTTGGGCTGCAACAAGTATTTATGTAAAGTAATGATATAATATTTTCCATCATTCTTGGGAGTCAGTTTTGTTCTGTAGAACAGAATAAAAACCATTATGTGAGCAGAATCAGGGAGGAGTCTAGTGATAGGCTTGGCCTTTGTTTAGAAGAAAACAATTTATAACAGTTAGAGCTCAAAGTAATGAGCTCCCTGTCAAAGCTTGTATTCACTAGGGAACTGGATGAGCTGCTAGAGATGTAATAGAAGAGTCCTTGCACGGGATTGAGTAATTGGTGATGGCCCCTTTACTAGGAAACTGGGTGATTTTGACGTTTGAATCTGTCTATACACACAATCAACAAAGATTTGAGGGTTGCCTCCCTTTATTTGAAAAGTTGAAGGTTTGTGTTTTGTTTTCTTGTTGGGGTTTTTCCTGCCTGTGTGCTGAGACAGAGATAGACTGAGTCTTTGTCATTGGCTTCGATATCCCCATTTGGAATTTGAGAAGCTTCAGCCAGGTGTGGTGATGTAACCAGAGCCGCTGTCCTTACTGTTGGCAAAGGGCACGGTCCAGGCCGTGTACCTGGAGAGCCAAATACAAGATTGTGCTGCCAGTTTGCTTTAGTGCTTCAGGTTTTTGCTGAAGAGCCAGTCTTTCCAGATAGGAATTATTTGTTTATTTTAGATGTTTGAAATGAGTGACCTACCTTCTGTTACCGTGTAAGATCCCAGATGCCACAGCACCAATGGTTTTCATTTGCTTCTCTCTCTCAGGAGCCTGAGTCTGGCTGGAAATTGTCCATGTGCCTGTATCTCCTTTCTGCTGAGTGCTGATTGTGTTTTTCCCACGTCCTCTCAAAAAGTTGTTTTGGTGGCTTACCTGTTTTTATTTATTTTTTCTATCTATCTATCTATCTATCTATCTATCTATCTATCTATCTATCTATCTGCCTACCTACCTACCTACTTACCCATCCATCCATCCATCCATCCATCCATCCATCCATCCATCCATCCATCCATCCATCCATCCATCTATCTCATAGCTCTGGCTGTCCTGGAACTCATTCTGTAGAACAAGCTGGCCTTGAACTCACAGAGATCTGCTCTTCTCTGGTTCCTGAGTGCTGGGATTAAAGGCTGAGCCACCATATTCATCAGTCTTGTTTTATTTCTTATTTTTATTTTTTTTAAAGATTTATTTATTTATTATGTATACAGTGTTCTGTCTGCATGTATGCCTGCAGGCCAGAAGAGGAAACCAGATCTCTGGACACCAGATCTCATTACAGATGGTTGTGAGCCACCATATACTTGCTGTGAATGGAACTCAGGACCTCTGGAAGAGCAGTCAGTTCTCTTAACCTCTGAACCATCTCTCCAACGCCCCTTGTTTTATTTTTTAAGAGCAAAGATTGAAGTTCATTTTGGAGCCAGGTTCTTGATTTTGGACTATTTATATGTTGTTACTTAGGCAGTACTCATCTCCTGTGACAAAGTGGTGAGTGCATGGGCTTTGGAGAATTCTCACCTGCATTAGGAGATGAAAAACCTTTTATTCACCTATAAATTCTGAAAGCATTTTAATTTTTTTTCCTGCCTCTGCCTCTTGGGTGCTGATGTTGCAGACATGTACCACTTGCCTACCTTGAATTCTTAAGCACAAGCTTCAAGAGGACTGGGTCACCTTTTAGAAAGCTTGGTCAGAAGTTCATGTAGTTCTGGGTTAGTATGAGGTTAATAACCTCACAGGAATGTTGGGTTGGTGCTTAGGATATTGAAGCAGATGAAAATTAGACATTTGTTCATAATGAATTTATTCAGCAGATATATATTACTGCGTATTATATTATAAATGCCTTGCTAAATGTTGGACTGGGCTACAAATAAATCATAGCCTGTACACTGACCTCTTGTATTATTAGAGCACTATAAGAAACAATGGTTTATCTTTCTCAAAAAAAAAAAACCCCACAAAAACCAAAAACTAAAAAACAAAACCAAAAATCAAAAGAACTACCACCAACAAAACAATGGCGTTATCGGGTTAGAGACTTAGAATTTTTATAACCCACAAATATCTCCTATTTGCCTTACTATATCCAAGGAATGTAGAGAATTGGGATCAGATCATACCACTAAACAAGCTGTATCCTGAGACAGGAGAGGAGTGAAGAAAAAATGCCTGGGAGTCTTTCTTTGCCTTCAGGTTTTAGGAGGAATGTTTTGTCTGAGTCACCCGTTGGTTTTAAAAATTCTGGTTTTGGCTTTTCCAAAAAGATGGGATTAGTGAGTGTAACGAGGCAGTTGGGTACCTGGGCACTTTATGAATGAACCCCCTTTTCCAGAGCTGGTGAACTTGGTCAGAGGTGGTTCTCCACCCTGTTTTTGCTTTCTCAACTGGGACTGTTAACCACAGAGGAATGGAATGTTGGCGTGGTGCCAGGCTATCAGGTCGGGGACATAGTTTCTGCTAAAGTCAAGTCTGAAAGAAAGGATTTTTTTTTTTTTTTCAGATAAACTTACCTGGCACCCATCTATCCTGGGAGGAGAAAAGCATTTCTGAGTCTGCCTGTTTCCTGAGTTCCTGAAGTTACTTTTGTTATGAGCCTTTGGGCTCTCTACTCAGATGTGCAGAATGAATAGCTTGTTATTTTATTGAGTAGTTTCAGCGTTCACTTTACCCTTCTGTTTTCTCAACTAGCACGAGAATATTAGTCAACCCTGAGATCACCTGCTGTGTGGTGTTCATTTGTCTAATGGATGTCTGCTGAGGGCCAGTGTGCCACGCACTGTGTCAAGTGGTTCATTCTGGTGACACCTATGAAAATCCAAGGTTAGACAGAGAGTAGTTAAATTAACCTCAGAGGAAAGCCAGGGCACGATGGCACATGCCTGTAATATTAGCACTCAAGAGGCTGAGGCAGGAGGATTGCTACAAGTTTTAGGTTAGCTTGAGCAACATAACGAATGAGGCATTGTCTTCAAAAATAAAACTAAAAACCCTTAGTAATTAATATGTTTCAGGAAGAAAATGAACATGGTGCCATGTTGGGGGACATTACAGCTTGGGGAGCTTTGTGGGACAGCGATCTGCTGCCTCCTTTCTTTAGACTGGGAAGCAACCTTGGCACTGGGGTGGGTATAGAGTACTTGCCTAGTATGTACAGACCCTGGGCTTAATACCTAGTGCCTCCCTCCTTGAATGAATGAATGAATGAATGAATAAATAAATAATGGGGGGTGGGTGAAGCCTTGTGCTGAGTGGTTAGTGGTTATTGTAGGCATTAAGACATTATTGTTAATGAGGAAATTGTGATTCTTCATAAATAATTTTAAACTCCTTTGTTTGGAAATTCAACTATAATGAAGGAACCAGAATAGTTTACCATTGGGGTAAGGAACTGTTGAAATTGGGCTGTCATGATGCCATTCTAGTTACTTGAGCCTTGTACACCTTTTCAGGTCGAAGCCTGGATTTTGATCTATGTTGTGCTCACATCCTGCTGCCTGAGAGTACTTGATGATCCATGACCCTGGACATGGATGCTGTCCTGTCGGATTTTGTCCGTTCCACAGGTGCAGAGCCAGGGCTGGCCCGAGATCTTCTGGAAGGTAAGGAGAACATGAGAAAGGGGAAGCAAAATTTCATACTTTCTATTAGGGTGATTTGGAATATTTAAGATGATCAGAAAAATATTTTTGTATACCGTAGGCCCTCCATTTAAGTTGCTTCTAATTATCTACTTTGTGTGACCCACTATAGTTTTAAAATCCAGAATCCCCTCCTTTACCTTGTATGTATTGGAGACCTTTCTTCATCATGAGTTTATATTCAGGTAATCCAAGGAGAAAGTTAGATCAGCTCACTAAAATCATAATCATAAGGAAAAACACCTGATCTTGACCTCTAACCCCTACATGTTTGTATACACACACAGCGCGCATGCTTCAGCCTCTCTATGCACTTGTATGCCCACACCACACATATGCCACACACGTGTTCAACAACACACTCAAAATTAAGATGAAAATGAAAGCATCGTCTTACACCGTGGTCAGTGTCTGTGCCGTGTGCCCAGCATGCACGAGGTTCTTGAGAGGCAGTCTCTCAACTGCCACGTTAGAACTTGGAAAACTGAGGTTCGGGGAGCTTTTAGAATGTGGCTCTTAATGATTATGTTACAAATTACTTCTTGTATGTTGTAAACACTTAGTTATTAAAAAGGCTGAGAGTGCTGTGAAGGTGAGGATGGAGGTCTAGAGTACAAGAGTGCCTTTCAGGAAGGCACTCCAGGGCAATAGCTTACAAGCTGACCCTAGGAAGAGAGAGTGGTGTGGTGTGGAAACCAACATTGAATGAGATGGGAAGTGGGGTGTGAGAGTGACGGGGAGCTGGCTAGGTGCACAAGAAGCGGAATATGGGGGCCTTGGTTGGCCATAGTAAGGAATTTGTACCCTAAGTTCACTGGAAGTGAAGTTTTTAATAGAATAGTTTTTAGAGTTTCAGTGTTTAATCTATCCCAATAGGACTATATTGGAAGGTGGCCAGTGGTAAAAACAGGTCAGAATATTCGGGTGAGATGATGGTGACTTAGACCAGTGTGGGTGAGAGGGAGAGAAGTTGATGGATTTAGATATGAATTAGCAGCTGGAGAGAAGGCCCAGTAGTTAAGAGAATTTACAAGAACCAGTGCTCTGTGGTGGCTCCTAACTCTATGCAACTCTAGTGGGCTTCCTTGGACACCAGGCAGGCAGGTAATACACATCCATACATGCAGACAAAGCATTCATACACATAAAATAAAAAATAAGTGAATTTTTAAAAAGGTACAATTTAGCTGGGCGGTGGTGGCGCACGCCTTTAATCCCAGCACTCGGGAGGCAGAGGCAGGTGGATCTCTGTGAGTTCAAGGCCAGTCTGGTCTACAGAGCAAGTTCCAGGACAGGCACCAAACCTACACAGAGAAACCCTGTCTCGAAAACAAACAAACCAACAAAAAACAAAAAAAGGTACAATTTAGAAAGGAAACCAAAGAACTTCTGTTGTTGTCTCTTTCTCTCTCGTGTTTTTTTCTTTAAAAGTTAGCTCTTCCCCAACATGATGTCATAGAATCACAACACTCGGGAGGAGAGGCAGGTGGACCTCTGTGAATTTAAGATTAGCCTGTCTCAAAAACAAAACAACAAAAAGTTGACTTTGGTTGTGTACAAAGACTGAATTAGACAGAAGGAAGGTCAGGAGCAGAGAGACTCGTTTAGAAAGTCTTGTTAGGGTCTCCCTTGAAAACACCGGAGACTAGGTAAGCAGTGTGAGGACTTGATCAGGGCAGAGGCAGTTCAAACAGACAAGGAAGGGATCTGAGAGAGACTTAAGCAACCCTGAGGATTAGCTGGATGGGGAAGGAGAAGAGAAGTGGGCTACTGCTGATTTAGGGGTCCCGTGAGCAAGGGAGGTACGCGTTTTGGAGAGAAGATGTCTGTGCTGGACATGCTTAGTGTTAAGAGGGCCTGATGAATTTAAGGAGCTTTCCTGACAGTTGGAAATCCACATCTAGTTCTCTTAAACAGGCTGTATGTTAATAAACGAACTGATTTAGGGGAAATACTCCCCATTTATTCAGCAAATATTTACTGAGTCTCTGCTAGATGCTAGGTTTTGTTCTGGATGCTTGTACCAAGCAAAAGTCCCTACCCTGCTGTTGTGGTAGGAAAGCCAGTCAGTAAGCAAGTGTGGTAACTATATACATTATAAAGTATGTTCTAGGGATTGGGTTGTTGTGGACAATGATGAGCATTGATGGAGTGCATGTGATTTGAAACTGGGCAGTCAGGGTAGGACTTACTAAGAATGTGATATTTGAGCAGGTAGCTGAAGTTTACAAAGATTCTACATACAGAGAAGAGTCTCCTCCTATACAGTGAGACTAGTCGGTGGGGAGGCCCTGGTGGGAGGAACAGCAGGGAGGCTAGAACAGAGTGAAGAAAGGGAGTTGAAGAGTGTTAGAGTCTAGTCCGCAAGCAGGAGTAGTTAGTGAGCTTAACTGGAGGGTTAGAACAAAGACACCACAGCAGCACTAAATGCACCTGGATTCTGCATGTAAAGAGTGTTGTGTGTGCTGTCGACTCACTCGACCTTCAGAACAGCACTGTGCATCAGGTCAGGCACAGTGTGACATGACTTTTTCTATCCATCCCTGAGAAAGGGAACAGATCATAGAAAAGCCACTTCACCCAAGACCGGCCTGCTCTACCAGAGCTTACTGAGGTCACTTTAGGAGCCTGGGTGGCATGCCAAGTCAAGCACATGAATAACTGGGCAGCTATACCACCAAAAGTCTTTGTCTTCTCAGCAGCTGTTAGATGCTTGTATATTCTTGGGCAGAGGAGACCTTATGAACTTCATTAACCTCATTACCATATCCCTACCAAGGGGGGATTAAAAAAAAGATTGGTCTTATTTTATGTGTGTGTGTGAGTGCCTGACGTGTGTGTGTGTGTGTGTATGTGTATACTATGTGCGTGCCTAGTATCCAAGAAGGCCAGAAGAGCGTGTCAGATGGCAATGATCACATCCAACCTGGAAGAAATGGCCACACAGCATACTAGTATTACTACCTACACTTTCATAAATAAGTAAATTACAGCACAGAGAAAAAGCTAGGAAATAGGAGAGGACACAGAAAGCCTTGAATAGTGGGCAAAGGAGCCTTCTATAGAGTGAGGAGCCATTACATGAGGATTTTGAACACAGAACTAGAATGATCAGAAAAAGGAGCCTCCTGGGGTTCCTTGAGTAGACTTGGGGTTAGGACACAGGAGGTGAGTTCAGCTGAGGCTGCAGCAGCTAAGGTACCACAAGTGCCAACAGTTAGTCAGAGTGTGCTGGGAGTTTAGCTAGAGAGACCACCAGTTGTTCAGACAGAGAGCTGTTTTCAAGGGGAGCAGTGCAGCTGCTCGCGGCCCTGTGCTCTCTAGAAACGTCACTGACGACGCGCCCTTCGGATGCACTTTAGGTGACTTGAGACATCATCCTCTTGTCCACCTCAGCCCCTGAGCCTGGGACAGACTGACTGACTTTGAGCAGGTGGTGCTGCTCCTGTAAGCGTTGTCTCCCTGTCTGTAAGAGGAGATGGTTCTAGGTGACTCAGTCCCTGAAGGCCTTGAGCGCAGACACACAGTTTCTACCACTAGATAGCTTACATAGGAAACAGGCAATAAAGAAAATTAAAGTAGTAGGATAAAAAAGTTAAAATAGGGTTGTAGTGTGCATAGTATGTTCTTACGAGGTTTGTTTGTTTGTTTCTTTATTTTGGTTTTTCAAGACAAGGATTTTCTGTGTAGCTCTGGCTGTCCTGTCTAGACTAGGCTGGCCTCGAACTCAGAGATCCACCTGGCTCTGCCTCTTGAGTGCTGGGATTAAAGGCGTGCGCCACCACTGCCTGGTATTACTAGGTTTGTTTTTGATATGAGGTGTTTTGAAACTGAGTCTGTAGCATTCTAAGCTTGTGCTGCCATACCTGGCTTGCTTAGGTGTGCTAGGATGGTTAGAAGGGTCTTCCTATGTCTTTCCCCCGTTTCATAATACTCTGGGTCTAAAATGTTTTTTGTTTTTTTCTCCTGTTAGGAAAGAACTGGGATGTGAGTGCTGCCCTCAGTGATTTTGAACAGCTACGCCAAGTTCATGCTGGGAACCTGTCCCCACCCTTTAGTGGAGGGAGTAGTTGCTCTAAGACCCCTGAAAAAGGGTGTTCTGATAGAGAGCCCACTCGCCCTTCTCGACCGATCCTACAGAGACAGGATGACATCATTCAAGGTATTGCTTGAACTGAGGACTAAGCTTTTGCATGTGGATTAGGAAGAGTCTTTGTGTTCCCTTGGAGATGTTTTCATTCCTTACTTTCTTCCCAGCCAAACCCAGCTGGTACTTTGCCACCATCTATACAGTGAGCTGAGACAGTTCTTGCTTGCTTTACACCATCACTGGCCAATACATGATGAGGACAGCGTCCTAGCCTTAGAGCTCCTGTCCCCTTCTTGTGCTGCTCACCCGTGTACTTCATGCTGTGCAGACATATAATAGTGCACTGAAGTAACTCGCTCGTAGTGTTACATGGGTGGGGCGTTGCAGGTTCCATGTACTTAAATGAAATGATTGGGGGCACAGTTTACATTAGCGTGTTGTTCTCTGGCATATTAAAGTTTGACTCTGTAAATTTCTGGTAGCTATGAATACTAATAAAAGTTGCAGTAAATAATATAGAGGTTGTTGATGACACTGTCATTTTCTTTTCTATAATGGAGATCCTTTCTCCATCCTCTAAGACCCTAAGGATTACTGGAGTGGTTATTTGGCTAAATCCAGCCTAGTGAAAGCCCATTTCTCTTACTTGGTCTTCTTCCCACTAAAAAAATGAACCAGTTGCTAAGTGAATGGTTCACACTCACGTTGAAAATGGGAGTCAAAGATAAGGTCATAGGAAAAGGAAAGTCAGGGAAACCTCAGACAAGGTTAGAAAGATTAACACATTTTTGGTACTACTGTAGGTGTCTAGAAAAATGCCATTTTGTATCTTTCCCCATTTGTATTTGGCTTAAGAAAAAACACTATGAAGTTGAGAAGTAGCTGGTTAGGTACAGTTTTTCCTTGACTGGAAACTGTCAAGTGGTAACCACTTTCTTCTGTGGAGAGCTCTCAGAGTGGGTTGCACATATTCTAAGGTGACTCCATTTCTCATTGCAGAAAAACGCCTGTCTAGGGGCATCTCCCACGCCAGCTCCAGCATTGTTTCCCTGGCCCGGTCCCATGTCTCCTCCAATGGTGGGGGTGGGGGGAGCAGTGAGCACCCCCTGGAAATGCCCATCTGTGCCTTCCAGCTTCCAGATCTCACTGTGTACAAAGAAGACTTCCGAAGCTTCATAGAGAGGGACCTCATTGAGCAGTCCATGCTGGTCGCCTTGGAACAGGCAGGTCAGTGGGTGTTTCCTCTTCAGTGATACCTCCTCTAGCCACATAAAGGGGCCAGCCTTCATCAGTAGCCTCTTTTTTAAGTATGTGATCTGATTGCTGTCAAAGATAGGGTCAGTCAGATATGTGTACTGAGGTAAAGAACAAAAATTAGCCAGATGTGTGGGGAGGGCCAGGAATAAACATTAGACACTCTGGAAAATTCCTACTTATTAGAAGGGAAACCAGATATGCGTGTAATTGATACCCAAAAATCAATATATGAACAAATATGACTGATTATAATTGGCTATGGAGCACTTTTGCAAACACAGAGGACCAAGACTGTAGATGATGCATCTGAAAGTCACATCTATTCATATGAATCTTTTCCCCAGACTTACTCACTTTTACCATGGTGTTAATCTCAGCATTCCAGAGACAGAAACAGACAGATCTCTTAAGAGTTTGAGGCCAGTCTGGTCTACCTGGTCTACACAGCAAGCTCCAGGATAGCCACAGCTACATAGTGAAACCCTATCTCAAAAAAGAAAAAAAAAAAATCCCATGAGGGGCTAGAGAGGCGGCTCAGCACTTAAGAGCACTTGCTTTTCCAAAGGACACAGGTTTTGTTTCCAGTACGCATGTGTCAGCTCACAGCTGTCCATAACTCTAGTTCCAGGAGATCCAGTGCCCTCTTCTGACCCCTGAGGGCACCAGGCGTTCATGTGGGACATAGACATCCATGCAGATAAAACACTCATACACATAACATAAATAAATACAAAATATTTTTTTAAGTTCTAATGGAAGGAAGATTGGAAGTTGGAAGTGGGGGCATGCATGGAAAGGGAGCTTTTTTAATTTTATATCCATCTGTATTAACTATAACTCTTTTTAGAAGTTAGCAAGTTATCTTGGCTAGTGGAATTATAATCCCTTTTCCCTTTGTGTAGCCTTTTTAATTGCTCAAGAAAACAAAATTATAAGTGTCATTTGTAAATAGTCCCCTTCTGTAAAGAATGGATTGGCAGTTGTGAGATGCTGTTGACAACTGAGTCTAATTTACTGGTGTGTCATGTACTTTTTCTCCTTGCTTATAACTTTAAAGTCACAGCACACAGCTGCCGAGTGCTGTCACTGATGTAAACGACACCAGACATAAAGCTTGAGTAGTTTCTCTTTTGGTGGTGACTCAGTTAAGCTGTGCTTTGCTGCTGTTGTGTTTACTGGTCTTCCTGCCAGAGTGAAGGACACAGAGTTAAACAAAGTAGATGATGGTATCAGCCTGGGCACTGTTGGCTTTGGTGCCAGATAATTCTTTGTTGTACACGCTGCCTCGAGCTCTGGTCTCTGTGTACTAGATGCTAGAAGTATGTACCTCCCCACCAGTTGTACAGACAGACATCTAATCATACATTGTCTAATGATCAAACGAGACAAAACTGTTCTTCCTGAACACCACTGATCTAACCAGTCAGACGCAACAGATTCTAACTGTGAGTAAAGAAGATATAAAGAGTCACAGAGGCTGGGCCTTAATGCTGTATTCCTATAGTCCTAGCACTAAGGATAATAGAGTCAGATGTATCAGGAGTTCAAGGCCAGCCTCAGCCACATAGTGAGTTCAAAGGTCAATCACTGTTACATGAGACCATGTTTCAAAATAATAATAATAACAACAACGATAATAATACAGAGCATGCAGTATCTCTATTGGGAGGCTGAGACAGAAGGATCATGAGTTCAAAGCCGGCCTGGTCTGTGTAGCAAGGGGGAAAAAAGTAGTTGTATTCTGGGCTGTCTTCCTAATGTGCGTTTCTCCTTTCTCCCACTGCCATGTTGGTAGGGCGTTTGAACTGGTGGGTCAGTGTGGATTCCATCTGTCAGAGGCTGCTTCCCTTAGCAACTACTGGAGATGGGAACTGCCTCCTGCATGCAGCCTCTCTTGGTGAGTCTTGAAAATGGCGCTGCCTCCCCTGTGGAAAGAAAGCAATTGAGTCACATATCATGTATAGGATTTCATCTCTCCACACTTCATCTCAGGTGAAGTGATGATGGGTCACGGCAAGACTTCGGGAGATGGGAGAGCCTTGACTTGGCTTCCTGTCTTTAGAAATTGGAGAGCACAGGTTAGTTCAGCTCACTCTGAGCTGAGCCCTAGGAGTGGTGAGCATAGTAAGCCAAGTTTGTGTGGCTGTGTACATATGTGGTGGGAAAATTACACTTAATTGTTCTTCCAGTTGGTCTTTGTGATGCTTGCTTTGAATTGTTGAGCCTACTCACAACTCCATACACTTGTTCTTAGCTTCAGAGGGGTCGTCATTCTCTAGCCTTTCCTGAGCTCTGATGCTGATGGCCGTGGTGCCAGACCACTCTTACTAACTGGTGTATTTTGGTTTGTTAGATTTGCTGAGGAGTGAGGGCTTCCTCTCAGGAATTCGGGGAATATATTAAATCCCCCATCCTTTTTTGAGGCCCCGGGTTTGATCCCTGTCACCACAAAACAAAGGCAGGATTAATAAGTGGAGCTGAATCAAGATGAAGTGCGTGCCTGTTCCTTGCTCTCCCCATAGGGATGTGGGGTTTCCACGACAGAGACTTGGTGCTGCGGAAAGCTCTGTATGCGCTGATGGAGAAGGGTGTCGAGAAGGAAGCGTTGAGAAGGCGCTGGAGGTGGCAGCAGACACAGCAGAATAAAGAGGTGGGTGAGCTGAGGGGAAGCTTTGCCTTCTTTCCAGAGGCTCCTAGTGCTGAAGATCGCGTCTCCTGTGGACTCCTGAAAACCTCTGGACTGCAGCTAACGCCATAGGACAAGTGCCTTCCGTCAGCTAAGACTAGAAATGGAGGCCTCTGCCTGCCACAGAAACCTGTGGTTTCTAACAGCGAGCCTGGTACAGAGGCTCAGGAGTTCTTAGTGGAGTGGGGAGGTTTTGTTTTGTTGTTTTAATGAGCTAGGACAATTTCATAGGATTTTTTGTAGTTTGTTTTTATTATAAGGCTAGATCATTCATTCATTCATTCATTCGTTTTGGGGGAGGGGTGCATGCATTACTTCAGTGTGTGTCTGAGCGTCAGAGGACAGCTTGTGGGAGCTGCTTCTCTCCTTCCACTGTGTGGATTCCAGGGGCCGAAACTCAGGTCATCAAGCTTGGTGGCAAGTGCCTTTATCTGCTGAGCCATCTCACCTTCCCTAGATGAGTTTTGAGTCCCTCCCCTCCCCTGTACATCCCTTCTCACCTCCCCCTTCTTCTTCCCCCCTCTCCTTTTCCTTTTCTCCTCAGACGGCTCGGACTCTGTAACCCAGGCTAATAACCTGGAACTCACTGCATGGTCCAGGCTGGCACTGAATTTGCAGCAATCCTTCTGCCTCAGCTTCCCAGTGCTGGGATGTGGGTAAATCCCTATTTCCAGCGTGCATTTGTTTGTTCGTTCGTTCATTCATTCATTCGTTCATTCATTCATTCATGACATGTGCATGCCATCCACACATGTGGAAGTCAGAGACAACTTGTGTGAAGCACTTTGTTCCACAGTGTGGGATCTGGAGAATGAACAGGCCCGGGCTTGGTGGCAAGCAGCCTGACTACTGGCCAGCCATGTTTTTAATTCTTGTGTAAATGCTTAAATGTTTTTAATATTCTACCACTTTGCTTTTCTTATACTTAGCTTTGGTTTGATTAAAAAATGTAAAAAGATACTTGTTAAATTACATTTAAATATTACTGTTCAGGGGTTTGGCTGGTATTGTGATTACTTTTATGTAAGAAAGTAATGATGGGTTTTTATGTTCCATCTCCACACCAGGAATTGGGAAATCTACAACTGTTTTCTTAGTTTTGGTTGAAAAGTTTCACTGAAAGGCAGCCTTGCCTGTTTGGTATGTTGTGGATGTAGCTGTTCTCCTTGTTCAGTCACAGAGCACAGAGTGACATGTGGTCCACAGAGCCCGATGTGTTTCCTATGTGGTTCTCTCTAGAAGGAGTTGACTGGTTCCTCTCAGAATGACACTGTACATAAAGTGACAGGCTTCCTGTTTCCTGAGTTCTCTCTGTGTCTGCCATGTCAGTATGCCTTGATTTCACGTGTAACTGGTTGTATATGTATATAACTTTATGTATATGTGTGTTTGCACATGCACATGTGCGTAGAAATGCCTTTGCACGACAGAAGGTGTTGGTCCTCCTGGAACCGGAGTTGCAGCAGGCAGTAGTGAGCAGTAGTGAGCTGCCCAGTGTGGGTCCTGAGAACTGGACCTGACCCTCTCCAAGGACAGCAAGTGCTCTTACTGCTGGGCCGTCTGTGTAGTTCCTGGCGTTGGGTCTTTTGTTTTGCTTGGCCATGCTTTGACTAGTTACTTCTGATAGTAGATATGGGAATAGCTTTCAGAGGCTTTCTTGTCTTCCCCCATCCCCAGTTTTCATTGCTCCATTTTAACTAAAATCAAGTTTTATGTCATTTTGGGGCTCAGTGTTTCCTGTTACAGCTCTTGCCACATAAGCATGAGGACCAGAGTTCAGATTCCAGAACTTGTATGAAGGCTGCCCAGGTTTGGTGGTTTCCTGTGATCTCAGCACTTGGGAGACAAGAGCTAGGACCCTAGGGCGGGTGGCGGGGCAGCTAGATTTGCTGGGCTTGGCAAGCTGCAGGTTTGGTAAGAGTCTGTCTCCATAATAAAGAAATCAATCAAGGAAGACACTGGACATCAACTTAAGGCCTCCATACAGGTGTATGCACATCCACACATACAAGTGTGCTCATACATGCAAATGGGTACACACACACACACACACACACACACACACACACACACACACACACTGTATTGTGTTTCCTTAAAGCAAAGAACCCATTTGAAACCCAGGTGTTTCAAGTAGGATGATGTAGAATGGTCTGTCTGAGGGCTGGAGAAAGTCTCAGTGGTTATGAACATTTGCCGCTCTTACAGAGGATAGGATTTGGTTCCCATCACCCACATCAGGTGGCTCACAGCTACTTGTAACTCCAGCTCCAGAGGGTCTGATGCCCTCTTCTGGACTTTCCTGAGCTTAATCTAAGCTGGCCTAGAGTTTGGAATTCAAACCAGTTAGTAATCAGCTCTGCCTCCGTTGCTGAGTATCGGTCGTAGCAGAGCTTCACCTTTGACCGTTCCATGAGCAGGAAAAGACCTCAGCGGAGATGGCAGCAGCAGCCATTAAGTGGGAATGACAGCAAAAGTGACTTCAAAGACAGGTTAGATTCTGAAAGTGTCTCCCCAGGAGGACCAGAAGTACCTAAGTCCTTTCCTGTGCTTCCTGCCCGCCCTTCTGGGGCATGTGTACAGAGAACGGGCTGGGGAAGGAGCAAGCCCTTCACTCCTGTGGTTTGCACAATGAGTCTCATACTGGACACAAATCATACATGATTGTCTTGCTTGAACTTTGATGACCTCATCCCTTACCTTTGGAGCACAAGGAGACAAGGTGATGGCCTGAGATGCTTTGAGTTTTATGATACCAAACTCAAATTAAATTAGTTCTTAGTTCCTGGGCCTCCTTGTTTTGTGTTGAAATTGATGGTAAACTTGTTGGGAGTGTCTGCCACCTAGTGGCTGTATGTATTAACACAGGAAGCAGAGGGCTGGAGAGGTAACTCAGCTGTTCAGTGTGCTTGTTCTTGTGGAGGAGCTCTGATGCCTCACAGCTGTCCATCATTCCCGTTCCAGGGGACCCAGGGCCCTAGTCTGACCTCAGTGGGCACCAGCAAGCATTGGTGCACATACATACATGCAGACAAAATACTCACATTCGTAAAATAAAATTAATCTTTAAAAAAAAAAGCCAAGCAGTGGTGGCACACACCTTTAATTTTAGTACTCGGGAGGCAGAGGCAGGCAGATCTCTGAGTTCAAGGCCAGCCTGGTCTATAGAGTGAGTTCCAGGCCAGCCAGGGCTCCACAGAGAAACCCTGTCTCAGAAAGCCCAAAGCCCCAGGAATAGGTGGCAGGAGAGGAGGAATGAGAGGCAGGTCTCCTGGACGTGTGTCAGAACGACAGGAGCATTCCGTAGAGGACTTCTGCATTGTCCTTTTATTTTTACCCGAGGTCTGCGGTAGGTTTTACAAATGGCAAACTGCTTTGCCTTTTTATGGAAGTAAAGTATTCTCACGTAGCTCTGACCCTCATCACATCTGCTCTGGGGCTGCTGTGTTCCCAGTGTGATTGCTTCTGTTCTGTCAGGATGTAGTTGAGCAAGGAAACTCGGGTTTAATGCTAAACAAAAAAATACTGATAAGATAAACCTGTCTCTCAAATCAAATCATCACACATCCTAAAGCCTTCCCCGCCTGCCTCCCCCACCCCCTCTTCAATACAGGGTCTCAGTGAGCCCGGTCTGGCCTCCAGCTTACTTCGTAGCTGAGGGTGACCTTAAGCTTCTCATCTTCCTGCCTCCGCCTGAGTGCCAGGATTACCCATGACTGTTGGAGTGCACCACCACACCTGGTTTATCTGGTGCTGCAGGTCAGAAGCAGGGCTGCCTGCATGCTAGGCAAGCACTCTCCCACCTAAGCTGCGTCCCCACGTCTGCAGCCAGTGTAACCTGTAGTTGTTTGGCTGATGTGGAGGTACCTCTGTCAGGAGGGTTACCGTGAGTTTAAGGCCAGACTGAGGTACCCAGTGAGACCTTGTCTCAGAAAGCAAGAAGACAAAACAAATTATGTGTATTACTATACACAATCCTTTAATAAAAATTATAGCTTCACTTAGCATGGATTTATTGATTATTGATCATGTAATAGGCACTGGGCCATGTTGCATAAAACATGATTCTTTTCTTATAGAGCAATAGAATACAATGGACCTTTAAAGATACAGTGCAAAACAGAGCAGGTGTGGTGTCTATTTTCTTTTGATTTTCAGTCTCACTAGTAGCCCTGGTGGGCCTGGCACTCTGAGGGATCTGCCTGTCTGCCTCCTGCATGCCGAGGTGTGCACCATTACACCTGACTCAGCTATGGTGTCTGTACTGGAGTTCTGTAGAGCAGTTGAGGAAGAGATTCAAAGGAAGGAGAGCTGACCTGCTGGGAGGTGTAAGGAAGACTCCTCAGAGGAAAGCTTTGCTATGAAAGTTGAGGGATTCTTTACTGGGTGTGGAGGGAGTAGGAACAACTGATGGCAGTGCCCATCAAGAGCAGCTCTGGGAAAGGGGAGACCAGAGCAGAGAAGGGGGCAGGGCTGGAGGTAGGCTTTGTATACCATGGGTAGTGGAGATTCCTAGAACGACTGTCATCAGGAAACAAACCATTAGATTTTGATCACTGGGGGAAATACAGTGGCCTAATAGGAATGGGTCTGAAGCGTTCAGAGAGCCAGAGAGATGCATTGCAGTCCATGCTTAGTAAGTATTGACAGAGGCATTCGGGTCTGGGGCGGGGAAAGGAGAAAGAAATCGCAGCTCCCTGGATTTTAGTCTGGGTGTTTGGGTGATAGTTAGTGCTGTTTGATAGGTAGGAATAGAGGAAGAGGAGTGAGTGTGTGAAGAGACAGGAGTTTAGTTTTAAGTTCTGAAATAGAGAATTTAAAGTTACTCGGGAGAGGTTGCAGTTTTGGTAGACAGCTGGCTAGGTGAACATAGAGATGGGAAGGAACTGTGGGCTTGAGAGGGTTGATGCTAGAGGCCTGAGCACACAAGGGGAGTAGATAGGATTATGGCCTGTGAAGAGGTCACCCAGAGGAAAGCAAGGCTCAAATAGTTGCCGAACCCCCAGTTTTGTGGTGAGGAGAGTTCAGAGAATAAGAGAAGGCAGTGGTGTGGAAACGCAAGTCGACCATTCAAAGAGGGAAACAACAGAGGCATGAAAGTGAGAGCCAGAGTCTGCGACTGTCAGTGTCGTCAGCCAGGTGAAGTCCCTGTGTGATTGGGGTCGTTGTCAGCCAGGTGAAGTCCCTGTGTGATTGGGGTAGATCACTAGAGGTGGCGGCATGTGCCTGTAATCCCAGCATTTGGGAGATAGATGCAGGAGGGCCAGAATTACAAGGCCAGCCTCAACACATAGCTTATTCAATGCCAGTACATAAGATTCTATCTCAGAAAGAAACAAGATGGGGCGGGGGGGGGGGGGGGGGGCATGGTGACACATGCCTTTAGTCCCAGCACTGCAGAGGCTGAGGCAGGCCAGCTGGATCTACATAGGGAGTTCCAGGACAGCCAGGGCTATAACAGTGAGACCCTGTCTCAAAACCAACCAACCAGCCAATCAACCAACCAACCAACCAACCAACCTATTTTATGGGTCTTGACTCTGAAAAAGAGAAGAAATTTGACTTAGTGTAAGTGTAAGCCAAGTGTTAAGAGAATGGAATCCTGGAAAGGTGGGATGAGTATTGCCTTTAGAACCTGACCTCCGATTACCCCTGTATCTTTCATAGTCTGGACTGGTGTATACCGAAGATGAATGGCAGAAGGAATGGAATGAATTGATCAAGCTTGCCTCAAGTGAACCCAGAATGCACCTCGGTACCAATGGAGCCAGTGGTGGTGGGTAAGTGTGTCTATGTCGGGGAGCAGGGGTCGTCTTTGTGGTGTCCCTACTGAGTGAGCTCTCAGATCTCCAGCTCCAGATCGAGCTCTGAACGGACGTTGGGCGGAGAGAGAAGCCATGGCAAGGGCCCAGAGGTGTGAGCAGCACAGTGCATCTCCAGAAAGGAGGCAGTGCAGAGAGGGATGGGGCAGGCGGCCCTCATGTGCTTGCTGTGCAGAGAGGGGTGGGGCAGGCGGCCCTCGTGTGCTTGCCGTGGTGGGGCAAGTGTCCACTGGCCCGTGGGAAGGGTCAGCTTGTGTCCCGTGTGGACTTTGGAGAACATTAGGTGAAGTGGCTCAGCCTCTAAAGTGAATAAATTACAAGGAAATGAAAAGAACAAGAGACTCAGAGAACAAGGACACTCATAAAACAGCAGTTGGGATGTGTGGGCATTGGTGAGAAGACTGGGAAAATGAACAGTGTCTACAGGTTTTCATTTTAAACGTGACTTTGAAAAGGTATTGTGGCTGTTTGCTTTTAAAGGAGTCCTTTAAAATTTAGTTTATCTCTGTGTGTGTCTGTGTGTATGTGTCTCTGTGTGTGTGTGTGTCTGTGTGTCTGTGGACCTGCATGTGTGCTTGCACCTCTGTCTATGACATGTGTGCAGTGTCAGCAAAGGCCAGAAGAAGTCAGATTCCCTGGAACTAGAGTCACAGATGGTTGCAAACTACCATGTGGATGCTGGGAATTAAACCCTGGTCCGCTGGAAGAGCAGTCACTCTCTTGATTGCTGAGCTATCCTCCTGCCTCCAGAAGGAGTCCTTTTTGTACATAGAAACTGAAATATATAGATGAAATATATAGGTTTACTTCAAAGTAATCCAGCAGAGTCGAGTCAGAAGGGGAAGGGTAAGGAATTGGATTGAGGTGTAGGTGAAATGAAATTGCCCGTGTATTCAGAACTGTTGAAGGTGGGTGATGGCTTCCTGTCGGTTTAGTGTGATATCCTTCCTTTTTCTGCTCTTGGGGACTGAATGCAGGGTCTTGAGCGTGCTAAGCATATCCTAATCCCCATTGTATTCCGGGTTGACTACTTAACATGCAGAGTTTTGAGCTTTTCTTTCACAAGAAGTTCTAGTTGAGTTGGAATGAGGTAAGGCTTGGGAATCTGAGGTTCTAACAGCCCCCCTCCCCTGTTGACCCTTGTCGTTTGGAGATGAGGGAGGGCCATTGGAGTTTAAGTAGGAGATTGATGAGTGAAACTGCGCATATGAGTACACCGATACCCAGGCAGATGATAAAGCGAAGGAGAAGTTAGAGTAGAGAGGTTTTAGAAGCAGGCCAGGCCAGGATTGTGGGAGTAAACAGAATGGTGAGGAGATACGCAGGAGACACAAGAACCACACAGGAGATGGAGTTGATCCAGCCAGTGAGTAGTTGAAGCTAAGTAATAAAACGAACACATTTTACAAACTTTAGTTGAGCTGCTGAGTAGATGGTGAGGCTGTTCTTTAAGAGAACAGGAAGAGGAATTTGGAGGTTTCCTTTCCTAAGACACACATGTTGTGTGGGTCGTGTGGGTCAGGAAAGCACGATGAAGCTGTGAGATTGTGTATTAGGCTCTTGGATAAAGAGATGTGGGAGGTGAATATAAAGAGTTGGGGATCCCCTCCAGATTGTTGACTCTTTATTTATTATGTATGTGGGGGGATCCACGGGGAAGTGTGAGTGCTCATGTGTGTCACAACGTAGAGTCAGAAGACAGTTACAAGGAGCCAGCCCTTTCCTTCCAGCTGCCACAGGAGTCCCAGACATTGAATGGAGGTCATTGGGCGTGGTGGCAAGCACCTTTGCCATGTCACCAGCCCCTTCCTTCCAGATTTGTAACACCATTTCAACCCCATAGCTTTTTCTTGGATTTCCTGATTGCTAAAACGGGAGTCGAACCAACCACGTAGTACAAACTGATCTGCAGGGCATTCTCTTCCCTGGCCTTATTTCTTCCTTCTCCTTCTGCTGTGCCTCCTCGCCCTCGTCTCCTGTGACTGTAGAGTGGAGAGCTCAGAGGAGCCCGTGTACGAGAGCCTCGAGGAGTTCCATGTCTTTGTCCTTGCTCACGTGCTCAAGAGGCCCATAGTGGTCGTGGCAGACACCATGCTGAGGGACTCTGGAGGGGAAGGTGAGTCAGCTGGCAGTCCTGTGGGTCTGCCTCAAAACGGTCCTGTGTGCAGAGACTTGGGCTGAGCACAACAGCAAGACGGGGAAGGAGATAGCCAGACTCTTGGGGTGGGCGTGGGGGGTGGGGGGTTACATTAAAACCGTGGTAACTTCTCAAGAGATTCAAAGGAAAACTGTTGGGGTTAATTGGCGTGGGTGCTCAATTCAAAAATGGGATTGAGGGCCTGGAGAGATGGCCCTGACAGCTAAGGGCGTGAACTGCTCTTGGAGGGACCCAGGTTCAGTTCCCAGCACCCACATTGGGCAGGCAGTCACAGCTGTCTGTAAGTCCAGCTCCAGGGGACCTGGCATTCACACACCTGTGTGCATGCCCCACACAAACCCACAAATACCTATGATTTAAAATAGTAAAATAAATCTTTAAAAAAGGGAGAAGTGGGGTAGAGAAGCGGAACTGTTCAAGGTCTAGCCTTAGTAGTAACAAAGTTGTGGTTTCCTGCAGCGTTTGCCCCGATTCCTTTTGGAGGGATCTACCTCCCATTGGAGGTCCCAGCCAGCCAGTGTCACCGGTCACCTCTGGTGCTCGCCTATGATCAGGCCCACTTTTCTGCACTTGTGTCGATGGAGCAGAAGGACAGTGCCAAAGAACAAGGTGAGGATCCAGAGTCTGTGTCTGCTTTTTGCTCTGTGTTATTTTTACTCGGAAGTGGAAATGATAGCTAAGAAGGAGGAAAACAGAAGTCCAGACAGTGCCAGTTTTTGTTTCTGTTTTTTAAACCAAGCTGTACAATATCACCAAGAGTTTTTAGCCTTAAAAAGGGAGTGGTTTGGTGAAAAGGGTGTGTCTGTCCCTATTCTGGAGTAAAGGTCTGAGGTACCAGCCTTCCAAGGGCTGCGTGCTGCACAAGTCGGGAAAGTAGGCCGGTTCCCTGACAGGAGTCCAGAGATTAATAGGCTAATGTTGTGCTGGGCGGTAAGGGGAAGGCCAGTGGTTTTAATGTAATTCACTTCTAAAGTTGAGGGTGGATGGACTAGTCAGTCATAGGCCCAAGTATGAGTTCAGTGGAGTCCATGCATGTTCATTTGCCTCCTGCTCTTCTCAGGAAGACTTCCTGATGCGTGTTTTTCCCTCCCCAGCTGTGATCCCGCTCACAGATTCAGAGCATAAGCTGCTGCCCCTGCACTTTGCTGTGGACCCGGGAAAGGGCTGGGAGTGGGGCAAAGACGACAATGACAATGTCCGGTTGGCCAGGTGAGGCCGGTTTCTTTCGCCTTCCGGATGCACCGTAGCCGAGATCTTCCCATGTCAGTGGCCGTGCCCCCCCTCCTGGTTCAGCGGCAGGACAGTCACAGCCTTGGGCTGGCCTTATTGGGAAGGTGGAGAGGTGGAAGGCCGGCCAGGCGTCAGGACACTGGGCTCTTGCAGCTGCCTTTTCTTTCTTCTTTTCTAGAACAGTGTAAATGTTCTGCCCAGTACCTCCCAGAGTCCCCAAAGCACTGGTCAGAAAAGCAAGACAACCAAATCCCAAGGTTGTGTCCAAGCCAGGACCAGAAGGGTTTTGAACAAGTGGTCCAAGCAGTCTGCTCTTAAGTTTCATCTCTCTGGCATTGAGATAGCAAGGAAAATGTGTTCTCAAAGCTGCCTCCTTATAGTCTGGTAGGATCTCCTCCCACCTCCCTCCATGCCTGCAGAGATGTGGATGTAAACTTGGGTCCCTTACCTCTTGCCTTTGGGGCCTTTGCAACTTTGGGAGCTGCCTGAGAGGGTTTGATTTTAAAGTTTATTACTTTAAAAAAAAGTCCTTAGAGCTGGGCATGGTGGCCTACACCTCACATAGCACTCGGGAGGTTGAGGCAGGGGAATCACTGCAAGTTCAGGGCTGGCCCAGACTATATAGTGAGCCCCTTTCTTTAAAACATAGAGAAAACCAAAAGCTGTAGTCCTCACCTGGTTGTCAGAATCTGCTAAATGATGTCAGAGCAGTGATAATGGCCGCTGTTTGATACCTGGGCTCTGGACAATGTTGAGTCCTTTCCAAAGGACTGCTTGCCTTTGAAGTACTAGCTGTTTAATTTTTTCCCTCCTTTTCACAGTATAATTCTGTCCCTGGAGGTCAAATTACATCTGCTGCATAGCTACATGAATGTGAAGTGGATCCCACTGTCATCTGATGCACAGGTGAAGGCTGCTGCCGCCCACAGCCCTCTGGGTGTCCTCACTGCCAGCGACAGGAAGAACAATGGCGTCAGAACCTGGCCGCCTCCTCTCTGTCTCCCTGTGGCCACCTGTCTCTAGTCACACTCTACTTTCTTACTTACTCTGCGTCGTTATTTGACTCACTGGGGACTGAACCCAGGACCTCCACATGTTGGGATGTGCTTCACCACTGAGTGACACACCCAGCCCCGGACTCGGCTTTCTAATACCGAACTACATTCCTTAAGAAACCTGTCTTCTTTTTTTTCTTAATAACTTGAGATTGTCATTTCTGTGTCTCTGCCCCTCACTCTTTGGATAGATCTGTTTGGGCACCAGAAAGAGAATGCCCAAGAGCTCCTGATCATGAGTTTAGGAGCAAAGGCAAAGCTCCGAGCTCCGGATTACGGAATGTATAAAAGCAGTGCTCAGGTTTGGGTGCTTCTGGTTAGTTAAAGCTTCCTGGAGATTAATTTTGAACAGAATTTGACATAGACTTGTAATAACGAACATACTGGTATCTGCAAAAATAATTTTCCAGCCAGGCAAAGCAGCAAACACCTGTAGTCCCAGTATTTTGGGAAACTGAGGCAAAGGGATTGTGAGTTCTAGGCTACCCTGGATTGTGTAACAAGACCCTGCCTTGAGTGAAAGAAAGAAAGAAAAGAGAGAGAGAGAGAGAGAGAGAGAGAGAGAGAGAGAGAGAGAGAGAAAGAGAGAGAAAGGGAAGGAGAGAGAGAGAAAAGGCCGCTGCTCGCCCAGAGGCCTTGCATTCCAGGCTTCATTGCTGGGGAGGCACTCGGGCCCTTTGGATCTCCCAATGCAGAGAGCCAGGGAAAGGTAGACACAGATGGGGTCTTACTTGGCCGTGACCCCCTGGCTGAAGCCCTTCTCTGGAGCTGGACAGTCACTCCCCGGATGGAGTGCACGGTGCACTTGCCACTCTCCTGTTGCTCCCTATTGCTGTGCTGGAGACCATGACCAAAACAGTAACGTGGGAAGGAAAGGGTCTGTTTGGTGGCCATGCTCTGATACCACTCCATCATTGAAGGAAGCCAGGGCAGGAACCCAGAGGCAGGAACTGAAGCGCAGGCCATGGAGGAACGCTGCTCACTAGCCTGCTCTCCCCACTTTCTCACACAACCCAAGACTACCCACAGTGGTCCGGGCCCTCCCACATCAGTCACTAATCAAGAAAGGCTCCTCAGACTTGCCTGCTTGCCAGAATGATGGGGGCAGCTCTTCAACTAACATTCCTTCTTCCCAGATGACCCTACCCTATATCAAGGTGACACAGATACTCACCAGGATACTACCCTTTTTTGTGTGGCCAGTCCCTGTAAGCAGGGGCTACAGGGGGCCCTGTAAGCTGTTAGATAGGTTCCATGTCTCTGGGAGCCTCCCCACAGCAGCCCAGTGAGGTAACTCATCGCTGTTCTCTCTTACAGGCTCCTCTGGCCCAGCCCGAGTCCCCCACAGCCTCAGCTGGGGACGAGCCCAAGTCCACTCCTGAGTCTGGGGAGTCGGACAAGGAGTCGGTGGGCAGCGGCTCTACCGGCCATGACGGCAGCGGGCGGAAGGAGAAGTCGAAGCCAGACCGGGAGAAGGACAAGAAGAGAGCGGACTCTGTGGCTAACAAGCTGGGCAGCTTCGGCAAAACCCTGGGCAGCAAGCTTAAGAAGAACATGGGGGGCCTGATGCACGGCAAGGGCCCCAAGCCTGCCGGGCCGGGCGGCGGGTCTGGAGTAAGCAGTGGCACCGAGACCCTGGAAAAGAAGAAGAAGAACAGCGCCCTCAAGACCTGGAAGGCTGGCAAGGAGGAGGCCGCTGGGGATGGGCCTGTGTCTGAGAAGGCCTCGGCCGAGTCTCTTGGCAATGGAGGGAGCAAGTACAGCCAGGAGGTGATGCAAAGCCTGAGCATCATGCGGATCGTAATGCAAGGGGAGGGCAAGTTTATTTTTGTTGGAACCCTGAAGATGGGCCAGCGGCACCAGTATCAGGAGGAGATGATCCAGCGCTACCTTGCAGATGCCGAGGAGAGATTCCTGGCAGAGCAGAAGCAGAAGGAAGCTGAGCGGAAGATCATGAATGGAGGCTTAGTTAGTGGGCCGCCTCCAGCCAAAAAGCCAGAGCCAGATGGCGGGGAGGACCAGCCCAGTGACTCCCCAGCAGAGTCCAAGGCACTGGCATTCTCTACCGCTTACCCTGGGGGCTTTACTATCCCTCGACCTTCTGGGGGTGGAGTCCACTGCCAGGAGCCCCGGAGGCAGTTGGCAGGGGGGTCCATGTGTAGGCGGCCTTCCACCCTATGCCACCTTTCCCAGACAATACCCTCCTGGGCGACCCTACCCTCACCAGGACAGCATCCCATCTCTGGAGCCAGGCAAAGATGGAGTTAACAGGGGTGCCTTGTTACCACCCCAGTTCCGTGTGGCTGATTCCTATAGCAATGGCTACAGAGAGCCCCCTGAGCCAGATGGATGGGCCGGAGGTTCCCGGGGGATTCTCCCAACCCAGACCAAATGCAAACAGCCGAACTGCAGCTTCTATGGACACCCGGAGACAAACAACTTCTGCTCTTGCTGTTACCGGGAAGAACTGAGGAGGAGGGAACGGGAACCAGGTGGGGAACTGCTGGCGCACAGGTTCTGAATGGGTAGAAAGAACCTCGGCGGTGGCGGCGGCGGGAAAGGGGCTAAACAAAGAAAGTTCAGCTCAACTCTGGCTCCTCAAGACCCAGCCCCTGTGTCCATGGGGCAAGTGCAGAAATGTTTGTGAGAGCTGGAGTGCAGCAGGCTGGCAGGAGCAGGACAGGGCTGGCACTCCCTCAGGGCTGTCCTGCTCTTAGGAAGGGCTGACCTCAGACTGCAAGACAGAAGGGGAAGACTATCTCATAACCTCCTGGGCCCTGTCCCAGGGCCCAAGGGGAAGTAGGGAAATAATTGGTGTGTGTGTGGGTGGGAGGTGGGTGGACATCTTGGGGGGAGGAACCAGGAAAGAAGGTCCTCAGTCGGCTAAGGAAAAACCAGACCAAAGTTCATTGACTTTAGAAAAAAGCACATGGTGGTGGAGTTGGGAGTATAGAGCGAATCTGAGATACTGACCATGTTTGATCTTGGTTTGAATTAGGTAGGTGACAGGCTTGGGTACATTCTTCTTCCGGAAGGAAGGGTCAGGCAGTGTGTGCCTGGCCTACTTAGAAAGGGGATTTTAAATCCCAGTGAGTGAACGTCGGAAAGGGAGGAACTTGGAGGAGGATTTTTTTTCCTAGTAAGTTTTATGTTCTAGCTAGTCATCTGTCATCCATTCTAGTTTTAGGGGAGTCTGCCTGTTGCCCCATTTTTCCTCATCCTCTTTGAGGACTGAGCTCAGCTAAGTTAAGAAGTTGTGATTTAAAGAAGTTTTTATTTTAAAAGCAAGCCCTCTTCGGGAGAGAGAAGGGTGTGAGAGCGGCCTCGTGTGGGGGGCTCTCTTCAGGTGGGTGCAGTGAGCTGTTTTAACTACTTAGCAATAACTACATGTGGGCTTTGAGTGCACTGAGGAGGGCTGAGGGGGCCAGACGCTTGGCCAGACCGTTGGAAACTATACCAAAACCCTCTGTAGAGCTCTCCTGCTGCTGCGTTTCCGTAGAAAGCAGCTTATTTTACTGACTAATTTTTTTAAAGAAAAAATAAGACCCTGGCAAAAAAAAAAAAATTAAAAATTACTTACTCCCCAACCCCCATTTAAGTGATTTTTTTTCTTCTCCTACCTGTCTACTTCTGGAGAATGAACTTAACATCTTGGCTTCTTTTGTTAAGCCATAGCTGACCTTAATCTATGGTTAGTTTATTAAAATAATAAAAATACTTTGTAAGAAGAATTATTTTTGATATTAGGACTGGTGTTGAAGCATGGGATGGGCTAGGGGCCATTTATAAAGGTAGCTAGAGAAATATATTTTAGTGAACCATAGCCACAGGCCCAGATTAGTCCCGGAGAGCTGATCTGCCTTTGGAGTTCTCCCTTTCCTGAGCCAACCCTGTCCTCCAGAGGGGGAGTGGCCCCAGTGGGAAGAGTCCCTTGCAGTTTGCACAAAGCACAAGTCTGGACAGCACTTGCTCTGCCCAGAGCCATGTCGAAGAGCTTTAAACCAGAAGACTCCCTCACCACTTGTCCTTTCTCCTCGTATTTTTTTTCTGGGGGAAAAATCATCTATGCAATTGTATACACTTGTGGCTGTACATGAAGAAGGGCGTGAGTGTGCTTCCGTGTCCAGAGTGTTGACTGGCTGTTCTGTGCTTTGATTTCTTTACTGAGGTATGTCATCACCCACATTTGATGGAATGTAATCCCCACATTGGATCTAAGGCACAAATGGCTCTGCGTGCGTGTGCGTGCGTGTGTGCGTGCGTGTGTGCGTGCGTGCGTGCGTGCGTGCATGGGGGACTCGTGTGTGTGTGTGTGTGTGTGTGTGTGTGTGTGTGTGTGTGTGTGTGTGTGTGTTTGGTGGGACTCCTGTTTACATGTTTCTTCTGCCTAGTCAGGATAATGATCACACACTTCCCCTTGGTAACAAAGCTAGTCAACAATTCCTCATTGAAATTATTTAGTTTAGAAAGGCTTTTTTCCCCTCAAAAAATTTGAATGTCACTTCCATATCTGTCAATCTGTTGATTTAATAATTTCCTGTCATTATTTTCAGACAATTTTTGTTTGTTTCTTTGCTATGTAACCCTGGCTGGCCAGCCTGGTACTTGTTATATAGCCCAGGCTAGCCCCCAACTTATAGCCACCCTTCTGCCTCAGTCTTGTGAATTGTGGGACCTGGGTGTGAGCCGCCACATCCAGGTTTCTTTAGGCTGGAACCTAATAGAGATGAGCATTTCTGGCAGGTGTATAAACTTAAAGGTCTATTCAGAAATGGAGGATTTTTTATGTTTTTGTTTTTTTAGATAGGGTCCTCCTTGGGCCTTAAATGTATGGCCCTCTTGCTTCAGCTTACCAAGTGCTGGGATCACGCCATCCAGTATATAAACATAATATAAAAAGCCCAGACTGACCCAAACATCAAAATCTTGGGATGTAACAGGAATGGTATTGAGGTGGAAGCAGTGAGCCCTGAATTGAACAAATATGAGGACAAATCCTGTCCATTTACGTTTTGATGTTCATAAAGTTCGTTTGTTTTTACATGTTTTGACTTTTTACAGAATACTGCATCCAGATGGTATTTATCTTGATTCATGGGTTTTAAGCACTCCTTCATTTTTTCTCCCAAGGTGAACGAACGCCTTGTGCCTTGTTCTCATCATCTTAGACTTGTCCCAGTTTCTGGAGTTTGAGTGGCACAGATGAGCCCCCTCCCTTCCTGACACTACAGACACCCTGGTGTGCACAGCTCATCATCCCCCTACACCCTCCCTGGGTACCTGCCTAGGTGAACAGGAACAGAGACGCCCCGCTGGGGTTTGCCCAGTAAGACCAGGGAAGTTGCTCTCTTTGGATTGCTGTGTTTAGACTTGATCTGTTAGTAGATTGTATTCACCACTCCTGTTTTTAAAAACTGAGAACAAATGAAGAGAAACAGAAACCTTGTATCATGTTTGTTTTTATTTATATGGTACCCAATCTTAATTGTTTGCCTTTTCAAAGCAAAAATAAAAGGAAGTTCCAGGGACGGGAAGGGAGTTCTAAGATTATGTGGAAAATGGGTCTTAGGCCCTTTAACTTTTTGTTAAATTAGTTTTAATTGGGAGGGTGACTATTAAGGCACCAAAAGGCCTCTCTATCTAAGGGTTTTTTTTTTTTCTTTTTTTAAAATAAGGGATGGTGAACTTTATTTTTCATTCTTTTTGGGGGGTGACCGAGGGGTTGAGTAGGATGGAGTTAATGAATAATGTCTGGAAAACAAAACCGATCAGAATTGGCTTGCAGTTTGGTATAGACATGCCCATGCAATTACTGTGGTGGGGAGAAGTGAGGGAGGGTTACGTGGGGAACTTTCAAACCTCCCTTGTTTAGAGGGTCATGGGAGTGACAGGAAGGTAGACCCTGTATCCCTAGGTGAGGCATGGCCTCATCTCTCAGGCTTACATTTAAGTGCAATTACTCCTGTTAATCCAGGGCATCTGGGGTCCTACTGAAGTTAATGGAGAGAGGAGATCTTCAGGGTTCTTCTTTTCTCCTTTCCACTTAACATGGTTACACCCTCTCCCCTACATTCTCTGCCCTGTCCCCAGCTTCCCGCAAATCCACTACAGGCCGGCCTCCAAATCCTTCCTCTTTACTCAGGCTGGCTTAATTGAGAATTGCAAAAGACTTCTTCATACTGTGTTTTATAAATAATATAAATTATATCTTTTTATTTAGTTTTTAAGATGCAATTTCTAAGAGTGAGGGATGGTGTTAAGCTCCTTGCTGTGCCTTAAAATAGAAGTACCTTCCCTCACCATAGGCTTCCAGAGTCCACAGACAATAGAGCAGAAATTACCCTGACTTTATATTATATACTTGGGTGGGGGGTGATCCTGAGCCCAGAGAATGGAGCTGGTTCCCTGAGATCTGGCTCTTGCCTTTCTTCCTTCAGTCACGTGCCCAAGGTTCCAGGCACTTTGTTTTTCCTTCAGTAAAGGAGCATTTGGGAAATTATTGTCTGTGTATTACTCAGACACCTCTGGACTCTGCCCTCTTTTTCCAAGGAGGCAGTACCACCCATATAGCCATAGGTGAGAACAGAATTGGAAGCCGTTTTCTGGCTTGGAACACGTACTCCAGAGTCTTAGAATTGAATTCTTTCCCTCCATCTCCAACTGCAGATTCAGTGAGTCATAGAGGCTCTGTCTCTTTTAATAATATTTTGCAGATACCCAGTCACAAATTAGGGTGTATTGCCTCCTGTGCTTAAGCTGATTAACTATCATGCTTCCGTGTCGAATTCCTGTGCCCCTCCATTGGTTGCGTGGGTGGGGGCAGCACAAGTGATGGAAGCTGTCTGAGGAGTGGGGTGGGAAGGACCTTGGCCTCTTTCTGTGTTTATAACTGGATCTGTGATTCATCCTGTGAGTCACTCAGCTCCACCTCCCTCCTCCAGCTGCCCCTCCCAGCAGCCCTTGCTCCTGGCAAACCTGTAACCAAAACAGGGGTCTGAAAATGGAAAAATCTGAGACAGCTCTTTGCCTCTCTATGCCCTTTCCATCCAGTAGTGGACCGCTGGGTTTGTGCTGCAGGTGGTGAGAGTCTTCCGTTACCTAATGCTCAGCTGCTACCCTTGCATTTCTGGTTAGGTGATGATCCGAATCACCCAATTTATTTCTCTGACCATTCTTCCTCTGTATTCTGCTGTTCCCATACCTCGAGGTATTAAAGACTAGAATGAGGCTCTCGGAAGAGTGGTGGGGAGAAGAAAAGTGGATCATGGGAATTTAAACCATGGGCGGGGGGGGCAACACCTCTTCCTACGCTGCTTCCTTATTACAGTTCCTACTTTATTCCACAAGACATTAAGAGGTGTGTGGTGGGGTAGAGGTGTTCAGCAACCTTTTGGACTTCACAATAAGGCTTCTGGGCCCCCTTCTTAGCAAGTACATGCCTGTTCCAGACTGACTCGGCTCGCTAGCTTCGCTGTTTCCACAGTTGCAGCCAACACAAGGAACTTTGGAAGCTGAGGCTGGAAGGATGTGTGCTGTGGGGAAGGGAGTATTGAATGTCACGACCCCCCCCTAAGGATTGCTGCCTCTGTACAGACTCAAAAACAATAAAACAGCAGCTCATTAACCCTGTTTTGTGTTCACGTCCTGTCTTTCGCGGTGAAACATGCTACCCTCAAGTTGCCCTCCCCCCGTCTCCGTTCCTTGTCTCCTGGCACCCCCCCCCCCCCCATCTTTGCTTCTTGAGTTCAGCAGGGAAGGAGGGGGAGATGTGATCCTGGAGCTGAAAGAAGGTTTCCAACCCCTAGCTTTCAAAGTCCAGAACATGAATCATTCATTAGGAGATCTGGTGACTGGGTTGGAGGGGGAGGGAGTCGTGTACCTGGGCAGGGCTTTCCTGGGGAATAAGTGGGGGCGGGAGCGGGGAGGTGCGCTTGCAGTGAGTAAAGGCTGGCTTAGATACTACGACCCTTTCCTGGGCTTTCTACACCTCCCCCTACTCCGCTGCTGAGGTTTGCACGCCAAAATACCTGTACTGCATCTGCATCCCAGACGCACCAACTTCCGCCCACTTCACTCGCCCCTCGGCCTGTCACGCTCTCCGGAAAAGGACACAAGGTCCCGTTCCCATTTACATCCTCTTCTCAACCCCTGTTGTTACGTTGTCAGAGGAGGTTGAAAATCAAAGGCCGAAACAACAACATAATCATAAAACCCATAAATAAACCAAACAAAAATAACGAGTTTCCTAGTATTTCATTTCTCACTAAACAGTACAGAGAGCTGGCCCAAAATGTTCCCATTTAATAATTACATTACTGTGCCCCCCCCCCCCCGCAACTTGTAATATTCACGAACATAGAGAGACTAAAATGTGGGATTGGGTAGAGGGGATCTGGGTACTCCCCAGTTACCCCCATTTCTCCCATCTTTCTTAAGGCCTCCATTTCCTTTTTTACTTTCCAAAAAACTGTGAGTGTTCTCCTTTAAGGGGCTGGGCATCTTGCCTGGCCTCTTTAGAGTTACCGAAGTTTCCAAAGAGCCTTCCCTGTCTGGGCAGGACACACCTTTCAAATAAGACCCCCCGGAACTGTGCTCTTCACATCCCAAACGGTGTTTCCCCTGGGCCCTCCCTCGCCTCTTTCTCCGGGGACCGCTTGGTTTTAGCCTCTCCCCAGAGAGAGTGAGCATCTTCGAGGACTCCCGCCCTTAGCTGCTCCACTCCCGGATGGAGCCAGGGAAATGTGGTGGGGGGGCCGGGGCCAGAGTTTCAACATTGCCCCCCAGAAAGAGGAGCCAGAAATGGGGGTAAGGAGAAGGAATGGGGGTGGGGAGGGGGGCGGGGAGTGGCAAGATGGTGTGAATGGGGATGCTCTGGAAATTAAGAGGGGAGAAAGGATCCAGAGGAGGGTGTATCTGTTTTATCAACTGTCATGGAGCTTGCTCTGCCCTTTCAGTCTCGAGTTGTCTCATTATTCATTAACTAGCCCCTCCCTGTCCTGTCTGCCAGCCCCAGGCCTGAGCTCCTGGCAGTCACTGGTCTCAGTTTCCCTGAGTAGGAGAGGCCCAGTGTGGGTCCCCAAAGGCAGCTGCTGAAGGAATCCCAGATCCTGAGCTTGGGAAGTCCCAGATTAACTCTCCCCTTCTCAGTTCTCTGGACCGAAGTCTGACGCAGGCCACAGGATGCCGGAGCACAGCAGTCATCAGCTTGGTGATTGCCTGGCCTCTGGTTGCCCTCCCAGGTAATAATCTGACTTTCCAAGACTCCTTCAGAATTCCTCCTACCCCAACCTTAAGTTCTCACCAGAGATGGCACTGTATTCCTTTCCTTAAAGTGTTTCTGCCTGAGGCTTGCTCTCCTGTCTCCTCAAGAGCTGGTGGGGAGCTCCAACCTTGGTGTTCCCTCTGCTTTCTTGCCTTGGTTAGCCCTTTTCTTATTAACTAGTCCATGACCACTGAATGTCTGCTCTGTGCCATGTTCTGTCACTGAGCTGTTAGAGGTTACAAAATGCAAATCATTTCCCTGCTATCTGACATTCTAGAAAGAGGAGTAGGTATGTGGACATGTGGGCAGCAGTAGGAACAGCTGGAACTTTGCTGCCCTGTTCCTCTTTTAGGAGAGAAGATCCTAGCATGGGCACCAGGGCTGCGGAAAGGGCGAGAGCTGGAGCTGCCTGGAACTCTGATCTGCACTAACTTTAGGGTCACCTTCCAACCTGGTGGATGGCAGCGAAATCAGGTGAGATGGTCAGTATAATAGAAAAGACAGAAGCTGGGCATGGTGGCACTGACCTGTGATCCCAGCATTCTGGAGGGTGAGATGGGAAGGCCATGAGCATTCCAGGCTAGCCTAGGCTATGCAGCAATACTCTGTTTTAAAAACACAAAACAAAATAGAAGGACAGCTAGAGTGAACTGGGAAGGGAGTCTGGATTTGGACAAACACGGATTAGGGGTTGTCTTTTGACTGTTATTATTGACAGTAGGAATTATTTCTAGGGAAGTTGCCTTCTACTGGGGAGGGCAGAGGAGGAGGGAGGAGGCCCCAGGGTGGGACAATGATGGCTGTCCGAGGTCTGTAGTACCACTCTTGTGCTTCCTTTAGGATACTCCCCTGAGCAGTGACTATGATTTTTCCCTGGTCAACATTGGGCGATTAGAGGCTGGTAAGTGTGAGGGGTTGATAAAAGGGGCCTCAGAACACCCCCTTTCTGTCCCCAGAAGGGTGGGGCAGGGTGGATTAGAAGGAATCCTCCCAGAGCGACCCCATGGTTATTCCACTCTCTGACTCTTGACTTCAGTGAGTGGCTTGTCCAGGGTGCAGCTCCTCCGTCCGGGGGCCCAGCTGAAGTTCATCCCAGAGGAGATTATCATTCACGGTCGAGACTTCCGTCTGCTTAGAGTTGGTTTTGAAGCTGGAGGGCTAGGGCCTCAGGCCTCTCAGGTAAGAACCCTTCCATTTGAAGAACCCTTCTCACCTTAGAAACCCAGGATCCTCTCCATGCTCCAGGGTCTCTCATCATTTGTTTTTGTTGTTTTTTCTCTTTTTGGGGACCTGCCACCCAGCTCCCAAATAAATCACACACGGAGGTTTATTCTTAATTATGAATGCCCAGCCTTAGCTTGGCTTATTTTTTTGCCAGTTTTTCTTAAATTATCCCATTTACCTTTTGCCTCTGGGCTTCTCCTTTTCTTACTTCTGTTTATCTTTCACTCTTACTCTGTGACTGGCTGGGGTGGCGGTGGCTGGCCCCTAGCATCCTCCCCTCCCTGTTCTCTTGCCCCCCCCCCCCCCACCAGATTTCTCCTTCTACTTATTCTCTGCCTGCCAGCCCCGCCTATCCTTTCTCCTGCCTCACTATTGGCTGTTCAGCCCTTTATTCGACCTTTAGGTGTTTTAGACAGGCAAAGTAACACAGCTTCACAGAGTTAAACAAATGCAGCATAAGAGAATGCAACAGGGCTGGAGAGATGGCTCAGTGGTTAAGAGCACTGACTGCTCTTCCAGAGGTCTTGAGTTCAATTCCCAGCACCCACATGGTGGCTCACAACCATCTGTAATAAGGTCTGGCGCCCTCTTCTGGCCTGCAGGCAAACATGCAGACTACACACTGTGTATATAAGTAGTAAATAAATCTTCTTTTTAAAGATTTATTTTTATTTTATATGTATGAATGGTATTTTATCTATCTATCTATCTATCTATCTATCTATCTATCTATCTATCTATTTTTAGTTTTTTGAGACAGGGTTTCTCTGTGTAGCTTTGTGCCTTTCCTGGATCTCGCTCTGTAGCCCAGGCTGGCCTCGAACTCACAGAGATCCTCCTGCCTCTGCCTCCCAAGTGCTGGGATTAAAGGCGTGTGCCACCACCGCCCGGCAGTAAATAAATCTTAAAAACAAAACAAACAAAAAGAATACAACACATCTTTGCATCATTAAACAAATGTTCCACAGCAGAAACAAACGTAACATATCTTAAAATAATATTCTACAACAATCATTTCTCTCACTCCAATCAAAGGCTGGAGCAAGTGATAGTCTCCTGAAGGGGAGGAGCCTGACCTGTCTGGCTCTGTCAGTTATGAACAGTAACTATGGGTAAATTTTCACCTCTAAAAAATGTGGAAAGTTGGATAACATTCCTAAGATTCCTCCCCAAATTAATATTCTATGATCCTATGGTTGTAGATTTGTTCCTCTGCCCACAGCACCGACCAATTGTGGAGGTCTCCTCCTCTGGGGCCTGTGTTAGCTGCTCTGCTCTATTGATGGTAAAGACAGAGAAACACATGCTGTTTCATTCTTTTTACTGCTAGTCTGAGGCTAAAGGATGGGATATGTATGCTCTCCTCCCCAGGTAACCATGGCCATCGTTCAAGCCAGAGCTCAGAAGTAGTCAAATCCAGCAGTATAGAGGAATAACCATGAGCAAAATTGGTAAGTGAGGATGCTTTAGGTCAAGGAAATGGGAAGAGTCTGAAATGGAGGGGGCTAGTTGGATAAAATATTTCTTCTTCCTCTCTGTCTCACTCCTGCTCCAGGCAAGGTTTCTGGCTCCAGAAAACCACCTATTCCTCTCTTGGAGACTTTAGAAGACTGGGAAGCTGAGCGGAAGAAGCAGGGGGCCAGAGGCTGGAGGGTCAGCACAGTCAATGAGAGATTCGACATAGCTACTAGGTGATGTCCCCGTCCACCCAGCTCCTGCTGCCCCCAAGTCTTCCCAGAGTTCCCTGGTCCTCTAAGCCAGCAGTTCCCGTAAACTCCAGCCTGTTCCCTCTTTTTAAAACCTGAGATCCCTTGGAATGGTCTTTCCAAAGTAGCTTCCTTATCATAATAGCTTCCTGTTAGCAGAGGTCCCTGACAAGCTGTGACGTCACTCTCCATTTTGCAGCCTCTCGGGTTACTTCTGGGTCCCTAATCGAATTCTGGACAGTGAGGTCAGAAGAGCATTTGCCCACTTCCATCAGGGCCGTGGACCGGTCAGTCTGAGATTAGAGGGTCAGGGGACAAGGGATGGGAGGGCTTCCGGTGAGGTCATTGTCAGGGCAAGGGCGGCTTAAGTGCAGTTCCTTCCACAATGACCCTCTCCTCACCCTTTTGAAGCGCCTGTCCTGGCACCACCCTGGCGG